AGAATCCTTAATAAAAAGGGGGGGGGCATGCCACTGAAAGAAATTAAAATCTATATAAAAAAAAAAAAACTTACCCAGTCACTGCCTTATCGAAGTTTGAAGGATGTCGACAGGTGGAAGATGGTACCCTGACAAGTAATAAACAGCTACCTGATAAAGATAGTGGGAGTTGAATGTATGAGGTGTAGTACACAGGCCCAACTGAAGAATATCATCTAACAGACGACGGAGGTGAGACACCTACGAAAAGGGAAGGTGCCTGATCTGATGTGACAACACCTGTAGAATTCAGGAAGGAGACAAGGATGAATAACCCAAGCAAATCAAAAACCAAACCCAATTGGTAAGGTTGGAAGAAGAAAGGGCACAAACAGAGGAATGTTGCCAGGAAATGAAAAGGTGGGAAGAGGAACCATGGAGGAAAGCCCTGCATGCAATGAAAATAACATACAGGACAAAGAAGGCTATCCAGGTCAGACCAGGAATAAAGGTGGGAGATGGAAGGAAGTGAAGTTGGCAAGAAGGAAGAATTTCCCTAATGAGCTGCCGCAGTTTAGGAGAGGAATAATCTATCTGGATAAAGGAGAACCTAGGTGGAATGGTACAAAGTGCATGAAGTGTTGATAGCAAATATATCAGACCAATGATGCCCACAGGCTAACGGGAGTAAGAAAAAAGTCATAAGGGACAAGTGAAACAAAGGACAGCATGACAAAAGTTCAAATGTAGGTACAGTAAGGCAGTGACAAACCATAATGACATCCCAAACTGGAAGGACTGCCCAACAAGAAGGTCTATGAATCTGGAAGGCATGCAACAAAAGGGAGAGGGTAGGGGAGGTAAACATTAAATGGTACCAGGAAGATGTGGAATAAAGCTGCTCAATAACCAGGATTGCGCAAAAGCAAAGTCCAATGATCAAACAACCAAGTGACGAAATCCATAATAAGAAGAACAGTGGGTCAATAAGGGGAAAAACCTTGAGTCAAAGACCAACAGCAGAAGACATTCCATTGATGTGATAGACCACCATTGAGGAAGGGCGAATGGAACATACTAAAAAGGAAGCAATCTGCCAAGACAGTTTGGATCTCCTCACCAAAGACTTTATAAATACCAGGCATGAAGACACACAGTAGGAAAGGCAAGATGAATTGCTAGTGAATGAGTGAGAGAATGAAGGGATGGAGTGAGAGGATAAACAAAAAGGTACCGTTTGGTCCAAGCCTGGCTGAGCATATCAACAGCCAGGGTGTGTGGATAAGGAACCAATATGACAAAAAAAAGAGAGGTAATTTGGTATGGAGGAAAGTGGTAAATAGCTCCAGCTGAGGAGTACCCAATGGGAGCATGGACACTTGAAAACCTGATGATCGAAAGATCACTCTGTGGGATAAATTTTGTCTGGTCTAGAAAGGTGATCAACCACAAGGTTGAAAGCACCAAGAACATGCAAGGAGACATGTCCCAAGTGTGTGGGCCCCCCCCCCCAAAAAGAGATCCAAGGTTCAACCTCAAAAGGAACGAGAATGGGTTCCCCCTAGTGATTGATAAAGCCACCACTGTAGAAATATTGAAAAGGATCATGAAAACTCGAATCTTTGCAAGATGAAGAAAGTGATCCAAATCACATCATACTGCCAGAAGCTCCAAGAAGTTGAGATGGTAAGACCCCTTGGCCGTAGAACGTTGTCCAGAAGCCTCCTGTTGATCGACCCATGCCATGAAGGAAGGGTAATGGGAGAATCCGAAGGATTCCAAGCAATAACCCATTGATTGTGCAGATTCCACTGAAGAGACCACATATGTGCCCAACCCAAAGAGATAAGTGCTTCCATAGTAGTCCATGTCCCAAAATACAATATAACCTTGAGAGCAAGAAGAGTGGGAGCAGCAATTGCTTGGAGAACTGAAAGCTCCATTGAACTGAGTTGAAGAAGAGATGGTTGGGCCTGACTGAGGTTAGCATTGGAAAAAAAACACCCAAGTGGTAACATGAAAGATTTCTCTAACTTGATAATCCAACCTACTCAAGCTGCTTCTGTCAGAAGAAGATAAGTGTGTTGTAAATGATTTCAGTTTAGAATAAGCTAACAGTAGTCAGTCATCCACGTAGTGGTATAAGCACAACCCCTGAGGATGCATGAGTTGGACAAATGCTTTGATCAACTGACAAAGAACATACAGAGCTGAAGCAAGCCCCAAGGGCAAGGCACGAAACTGACACACAACCAAAGATAGCATCTTGACTGATGAGAAATAGCACATGGAGATAAGCATTCGAGATATCAACCTTAGTCATCCACATTCCTGGAGATAAAACCTATATTGATGAGAGAAAGGACTCCATGGTAAAACAGGGAAGATCCAAAAATCAGTGGGACAGATTGATCACAGGACGCCAGACCTTGGTTTTCTTGGGTAACACAAACAACCTGGAGTAAAAACCTGGGAAATTATGGCTGACAAGCTTGATAACTCTCTAAGATAGAAGAGACAATACTGCCTTAAACATATGTTGACTGGATATAGGATCCCGAGGTAATGGAAAGGATATAAATACTGGAGACAATGGGGGAGGGGAAAGGTATTGGATGGAAAGTCCTTTGGACAAAACTTGATTAACTCTTCCGACACAAGGTCGTCAATATGACCGTGTCACGTGACCTTCTGAACTCGTATAAAGTTGGCATAAATTTAATA